AGTATTCCTTTCATAACGTGACGTTATGTACAAGAGGGAAATGTTGTAAATGCGAGGTGCCATGCAAAATATACTGTTACTAAATTGAGCAGTTTTATTTGGTGGAACGCATACCTTCTTATCGTGTCGTTTGCTTAAATGTTCAAACATTGAAATATGCAACTTTACAAATATGGCTACCTCATTGATATAAATACATGGTAAGATTAATAAGTTCAAACTAATGAAAGCGCGTTTACAACTTTCTGTAGGTGTCAGTTTACATATTGCTCTGCACATTTCTTTTGAGCTTTAAAGACAATATCTTTATCAACTCAGTTATCCCAAAAGATGACTCCGTACCTTAATAGTGCAGTGCGAAGCGCGCTCGTATACGGTCGTGTTTATAATACTCGCGAATCGCGTAGTATAGGTGCTTGATTAACTATGAGTACCCAACCACATGTATTAAGACATCTATACATATAATAAAATTGTAGAAAAGTGCTGTCTGTACATTGAAAATAAAAATAAAAAAAATAGCAGGGGTTATTGTTATGTCGATGTCGAACACAAAAATGTAACTAACTTTTTTTTGTCTGTTTGTCTGTTCACGCTAATCTCAGAAACGGCTGATCCCAGTTGGATGCGGTTTTTACGAATATATTGTGGTATGCTTCAGTTATGCTTTAGTGTTTGTTTCATGTCAATCGGTTCATAAATAAAAAAGTTATGTCAAATTAAAGAATCACGTCGAACACTATTCTATGCTTATACATAGAGGTACATCTATACATATATTAAAATTGTAGAAAAGTGCTGTCTGTACATTGAAAATAAAAATAAAAAAAATAGCAGGGGTTGTTGTTATGTCGATGTCGAACTCAAAAATGTAACTAACTTTTTTTTTGTCTGTTTGTCTGTTCACGCTAATCTCAGAAACGGCTGATCCGAGTTGGATGCGGTTTTCACGAATATATAATTTTATATCATTTTCACGAATATATAATATAATTTGCACGAAAACGGATATCCACTATATCGTCGAAAATCACCTCAACAAGGTGGGTTCATAGCTAAAATAAGGTTACATGGTCAGGAAATAGATGTAGATAATAGATGGGTGGTACCTTATTCACCGGTATTATCAAGAACCTTTCAAGCTCACATTAATGTTGAAGCATGTAATAGTGTCGAATCCATAAAATATATTTGCAAATATGTGAACAAAGGCTCTGATCAAGCAACTGTGGGATTCACTAACAATGATAACGATGAAGTTACGAGGTTTCAGTCGGGTCGATATATTAGCTCCTCTGAGGTAGTTTGGCGTATTTTAAGTTTTTCTATTCATGACAGATATCCACCCGTTATCCATCTTAACGTTCATCTTGAAGGTGGACAAAGGATATACTTTAACCCTGACAATGTGACGGAGCGTTTAGAAAACCCAAGACGAACCACTCTGCTCGCTTTCTTTAATCTATGCGAAGCAGACCCATTTGCTAAGTCACTCTTATACAACGAAGTTCCAGCGTATTATACCTATAATAAACAACAGGGTGTTTTTAACCGCAGAAGACGTGGAACAGCAGTAGTAGGTGAACCGGGTATTTTTAAAGAACACGTCATTGGTAGGGTTTATACGGTGCATCCGAATAACTCCGAATGCTTTTACCTACGCCTACTTCTACATGATGTTCGAGGGCCTACTTCCTTTGCCGAGCTCCGAAAGGTTGACAATATCGTACACCCTACATATCAAGCGGCTTGCCGGGCACGTCACTTACTGGATGGGGATCAACACTGGGATGATGCTTTGTCTGAAGCAATTATTAGCGAAAGCCCACAGCGATTGCGCCATTTGTTTGCAGTCATGCTGGTGTTCTGTGCACTTTCTGATGCTTCACAATTATGGCATGTATCAGAACAAATTAGCTGAAGACTTTTTCAGGCACGCGCAACTAAAATGATGACAACCAAATTAGTGAGAGATTACGTGAAAGTTACTTGAATCGTTGTTTGTTGATATATTCAAGATATAGTTATATCAATTGGTGGTAATCCTATTTCTCAATATGGCATGCCCGAGCCATCATTTGACGGTGAACGTATTAATAGAGATTACGCGATGGAAATTAACTATGATCCAGTAGATCTGGCAGACATTTTACAAACTGATGTATCGAGACTAACTGAAGAACAGCGTTCAATATTCGACCGGGTGTGTCGCAGGGTAGACAGTGCTTTGGGGGAAATGCTGTTTGTAGATGCTCCCAGTGGAACGGGCAAGACATTTCTTACAAAAGTGATTTTGGCGAAGGTACAAAGCGAAAGTAAAATTACGCTTGCTGTCGCTTCATCGGGCATAGCAGCCGCTTTATTACCAGGAGGGAAAACTGCACATACAATGTTCAAAATTCCCATCGACTTAGACCGCACAGAAAACCCTGTTTGTAATATTTCAAAAAACAGCGATAAAGCTAAGGTTCTTCGTGATTGCAGCCTTATTATATGGGATAAGTGCACAATGGCAAACAGAAAAGCAGTTGAAGCAGTAGACAGTACGTTGCGTGATATCAAACAAAATAACCAACCTATGGGTGTTATTACTGTACTTTTTGTGGCGATTTTCGTCAGACTCTCCCTGTAATACCACGCGGAACAAGGACTGATGAAGTTAGAGCCTGTCTAAAGAGTTCTCATCTGTGGCATTACATTATCCCTTTGCATTTGACTTTAAATATGCGAGCGCAAATCGGAGGCAATCAAAATGCTCAAGAATTTTCAGAGTTATTACTGGAGATCGGTAACGGTGTGTATCCGCAAGAACAAGGAAAAGTTGTTCTCAATGAAAACTTATGCAGCCAAGTTTAATCAATACGAGACCTCATTTCAAAGGTGTATGGAAACCCAACGCAAATACTAACCTGCGAAAATTCCTGGCTTTGCGAAAAAGCAATTTTGACTCCACAAAACGACCAAGCAGCAGCAATAAACGCTGAAATTTTGAGCTTAGTTTCGGGGGATAATGTAGAGTACATCTCTATTAACAGAGTTATGGAAGAAGGAGAATCTACCAGATACTCAGTAGAATTTTTAGAATCTCTTAGAGCTCCTGGACTATCAGCTCACAAAATAAAATTAAAAATCGGCATACCCATAATGCTCCTTAGAAATTTAAGCCCACCAAAACTTTGCAACGGTACTAGATAAAAAGTAACAAATTTACAACGAAATCTGATAGAAGGAGAATTTTAACAGGGTGCGGAAAAGGTGATAGTGTTTTTATTCCTCGAATTCCTCTCATTCCAAACAATTTTCCGTTTAGTTTTAAACGAATTCAGTTTCCAGTGCCTATGTTTCGCCTATGTTTCGATGGCGAAACATAGGCTCACTCATGTCATGGGACAATCAATAAAGCTCAAGGTCAGACTCTAAAAGTTGTGGGTGTAAATCTAAGTATCAGCTGTTTTTCGCACGGTCAATTGTATGTGCCTCTGTCCCGTGTTAGCAACCCCAGCTGCCTGTATGCTTTCACCCCCGATGGCCATACGTCTAATATTGTATATAGAGAAGCATTGCAGTAAAGTAGATTTTTTTGCTACTCAAAATGACTGTGATTATGATCTAAATCCAAAATAAAAATAAGTATATATTTAAAAAAAAACGCTGCTCATAGTCACTATTCCACGCGAACGAAGTCGCGGGCACAGCTAGTCTAAAATAAAAAAAAGTATATATTTAAAAAAAAACGCTGCTCATAGTCACTATTCCACGCGAACGAAGTCGCGGGCACAGCTAGTACTTAATAAACTTTGGAGTATACAAAAAAGAATACTAAAACGTTACTCAATTTTAAGTCGTGCTTAAATATCGTGCTGTCTCTGTCATTTTACATACAAAGATTTAGTTGTGACAGAACTATACTTAAGCGCGACTTAAAATTGAGTAGCGTTTCAGTATTCCGACACTAGACCAACAAACAAAAAGTTATTTCGAGTGAAAGGCACCATTCTGGATTTTTCATATTTCTATAACAGAAATTATATGCGACCAACCGTGGCATTTTTGACGAAGAGATTTTTGGTAGAAGGTAGCTAATGACCTTCTAAATCCCTGATAAAACTGTATCGGTGCATACGCCAAACATCGTATATACATATACTACTTGGCAAATGAAGCACCAATACACTTTAACAAACAAAGAGTTTTGAGTGCCGTCGTACGAATGAGTATGGGGGTGCCGTCGTTAAGCTTATCGTGGTATTTTACAAATTAAATATCTTTACAAATGGGGACTACTAATGAGGTCATTTGTTACTTGTATGGTTTTTAATATTTCAAGATTTGAACCCCCGTTACTTGTCTGAAGGGATGGCCTTCATGGCAATTTATTTAAGTATCAAACAAATAAATTGCCATGCAGCTTCTGCCAGCGGCTTCACCCGCGTTCCCAGGGATAAAAGTAGCTTATGTAGTACTTATGTATTACTCCTTTTTTAGACCATTATCTACCTCTGTTTCAAATTTCATTCCGGTCCCTTCAGCCGTTTTGATGTGACTGATTAACAAAAATAACATACACATAAAAACACAAAGTCAAACATTTAAATGCAAACTAACTCTTATCCTCAAATTAGCTCTAATCACTTAGCGAAGCTCCTATAACATAATGATTACCTCATTACATAATTGATTTCAATTCACTTGAAACCATTACTTAATGAAAAGAAGTTAGTAAATTACCACGCTGTGTAAGCTTAACAATGGTACCCCCACTCCAAACTTTACTTTGGCAGTGTTGGTTATATAGTGAATCATCATTCACGGAGTAGTCAGTATTTGTCTTGTTGTTGACACGAGCAGTCGCATATCAGTGGTCGGTTTGTCAAGTCTTTCTCTAAGGGAGTGTTACTGTGACTTACTGTACTGTGCTTATAGTGAAATTAAAACAAGTGAAGTGGAAGAAAATCGACACGTGTTTGTGCAAAATAAAATATTTCTGTTAAATCATCAACATGGTTTACGGAACTCAAATGTATTACGCTGCGTGTAATTACTATACGCCAAGAAAATCTGAGGGCAGCCGTAGAGAAGCTGGCGATGGTTACAGAAACGACTACACGGAGAACGTATTGCGCGGTAGACACCGTGGCAATATATCTAAACGTTCGACATCATCCAAGCGCCCAAAGCGAGAAGTTCACCGCCGTATTAAAGATGATAAGTGCGATAGAAATATTCTCAAAGCTGCCTCGCCATCTGACTCACCTGGTCCTACGAAGCTGATTATTTCTAATCTGGACTTTGAAGTTTCCGACATAGATATCCAGGAGATGTTTCAAAACTTCGGCGTACTAAACAGCATCAACTATGATAGAGCTGGAAGATATAATGGTACCGCTGATGTAGTATTTGAAAGGCGAGCCGATGCCTTAAAAGCAATGGGTGAGTTAAATGGGAGGACTTTCGATGGAAAGGCATTGGATATAAGGCTCGCAACTTCACAAAACTGTACCGAAGACTACAGATATGAAGAAAGAAGTCCTGTTAGTGTTAACAACGGCTGCAGTGGCAACAACGTTCGATTCAACAGGAAAAGTACAAGGAGTGCTGATGAATGTACCCATCAAAATAGACGTGAATCTCGCAGTAGTGATAATGGACAGGCTGGAGCAAAAGGTGAAAAGCGTCCTGCGCTCACTGCAGAACAGTTGGATGCAGAACTAGAAGTTTATATGACTTCTGTCAAAGAAGTCAAGCGTAGAAAGTGAGACCGTTTTGTGAGCGTGGAAGCAATGTGTATCTAAAACTGTAGCATATCACGGTGTATGAAAATATTTGTTGGCTTCGTAAATTACCACATTGTTTAACAATGGTTAACAATGGTACGAACCTCCAAACTTTTCTTCGGCAGAGTTGAGTAAATGAAGACTTACCATATAAACATACAGTCCTCATTCACGGAGTAGTCAGTATTTGTACAGAAACGACCGCACGGAGAGTGTATTGCGCGGTAGACACTGTGGTGATGTATCTAAACATTCCAGACCACCAAAGTACCCAAAAATGGAAGACCATTACGTTTTTAAAGTAAGACTAAAGAAGATACCTTGCCATTCAATCCAACCGCTCCTACGAAGCTACTAGCATCCTATCTTGATTTTGCAGTCTTCAATTTAGACATGCAAGAGCTATTTGAATTGGACCTTGAGGGTCGAGAGGTTGGAACCGCGTCACAATACCAACTTCAAGTCGTTTGTACTGCGAGTTCCGACTCAACATCTCGACAACTTCCTGGAGGCAGAGGCCGCCTACGTGACACCGAACAGCGTAACATGAGACCACGCACATCGTGTGTAACAATGATTTAAATTAATAACTGGTATAATAATGTATTTATAGTATTTCATGTTTTATATCATAGTATTATTGTATCAATATGGGCCTTCGTTGCCTGATGTAAATGAAAAAAAAATAACAAAATTATAACCCTTACACTTATCATTGCCATCCATTAAGTTAATTTGTAATAATTTCGTGGTGGCCCGGAGGTTTAAGACGCCCGCTTCTCATGCATGAGAGTGCGGGTTCAAAACCTACCAACGGCAAGTACCAATGTGACTTTTCCGAGTTATATGTACTTTCTAAGATTATTCAGATACCACTGACAAACGGTGAAGGAAAACATCGTGAGGAAACCTGGGCTAATAATTTCTAATTATAAGTTTGTAATCACCAACCCTCTTTGAGCAAGCGTGGTGATTAATATTCAAAAGAGGTAAATTTATAGGTGTCTTTATAAAGCTAAGTTTCTAGATATGGCCACAGGTGGCGTTTTGGTTCTCTTTGTCACTCCTTTTTCGTTCCTCCATTTTGATTTGTATTAGCTGTTGTTTTTCTGTTATAATAAATGTGTTGAAAGAAATCTTATTCAAATTATTTGAAACCACTCAATACCTGAATAATTAATGCTCAAACCTTCTCCGTGTGGGAAGAGGCTTTGCTCAGCAGTGGGCATTTATAGGCTGTTGATGATGATGAAGTTAATTTGAGATGTCATTTTCTCTGTAATTAAGCAGTATTAAAAAGTGCCTGTCTTATTTTTGCAATGGTGGGGATTAACTAAATACGATAAATAAATAAAAGATAGAAATACACATTTTTTATTTTTGTTCCGCGGATCGGTTCAATTTGCACGAAACACGGAGTCAATCTTGAATTGACAATGAGTCGCTAAATGATTGATAGATTGATTTTAAAATGAATCTTTTTAATCCTGTCATTGCATAAAATACATTGATTTAAAAGCACGGCTAAAGTAGTGCTCTTATGGCTTTGCGATAATTACACTACAAAGATAAATTTTCCTGAAAAAAAACTATTCTCTATCCATTTTGAGTAATGTCGTAAACTATTTAATTGATTGAAGTAATTTAAAATAATAATAATAATAAATTCTTTATTTCGGAATTGTACACTCCATATTTTACACTATTAGGAACAAAAAAAAACAGGACATACTTATACAGTGAAACTTGGTTAAGTGGGACCTGGATAAGTGAGAAACCTCCATAACTGGAACTCATGCTGAGGTCCCAACACTTAGGCACTGAATTACCTCTGTTAGTGGGACGAGGTAAACCTCTATATCTGGGATTTGTTCTTTCGATTTATCATCATAGTTACCTCTATAACTGAGACAGCGAGTAAATTTTATATGCATAAACCTCTGTAACTGAGATAACAGTCTTTGTTTACTCATTCTTATTCTACCCACAAATTCCACACGTAATTCCAAGTGCACCTCTATTAATCGAACCCTCTGTAAATGAGACAGATATTTATTTATACCTGTATATCTGAGACACTTGGTAAGTGGAATACCTCTTTAAGTGAAACGACATTGCAGGTCCCTTGATGTCTCACTTAACCAGGTTTCACTGTATTATCTAAAATAAAAAAAAACTATTTAATAGCGCCATTCTTTTTTTAACCAGTTAACATCTATATTAATTACAAAACTAGCTTCTGCTAGCGGCTTCGCCCACGTTCCATGCGGTAAAAAGTAGCCAATGTATTAATCCAGACCATAATCTACCTCTGGTCCAAATTCCATCCTGGTCCGTTTTGATGTACTTAATAACAAATACACACACAAACATATAACCTCACATAATATTTATAATATCGAGTCAAGCTGATTTCAACCATCGGCCCTACAGTTACAGCGCAAAGTCCACGGCGGGCAACCTAACATTCGACAAACTTATATTTGCACTTCTACAGTTTTATTGTACACGAGCTGCCGTCCGGTTCACTGGTCTACAAAAATAAATATTTTCAAAGTTACACCTGAAACAATGCAGTTTTTTCATAGAACTATGCTTAGTGAGTACAAACTTTGAAGAAAGTCTATGTCTATCACGTCTAGATTTTATGTTATCTGTTAACAATGTTAACCAATTTGATTATTATAACGTATTTTGTAGCTTTACATAAAATTAACAATTCCATTTACTATATTTTTAACAAATTAATTCAAAAGTTACAAGTTTAATCATTTCTTTACACTTTGAGTTGATACTTTAACATTCACCATAGCTGAGATATATGGCAGTTTATTTCTGCTAGTTTTTTTCGTGCAACCAATATTAAAAATGTTCTATGCATAATTCTGTCTAAATTTCAAACTGCCATAACTCAGTGATGATTACTACTTCAATCTCTTCATTCTAAAGAGAAAATAGTAAATAAATAACATGATTGAAATCGATGACAGGAATTTTCTTTCATTTTTTTGATAAACTTACTTGTTTAGTTAAGTTGTCTGTCTCCATTGTTGGTTTTATTTAATTTTTTTTGTTAATTTATAACAAGCAATCTCTTCTAAAATTATAGTTTTTACTGTGAAAAACTTAAATAAAAACGATTTACAATCGCAGTTGTCCTCACGCCTCCAAGACGAAGAGGGTCACTTCGACCGACTTGGTAACACTAGCTGACCACCGACAGACGACTGTTCGTATTGACGACGTGTCAAAGACTAACTACTCCTTTTTTGAACACTTGTAGTTCAGCACGCTAAGGCTGTTGACTACTTAACCGTACAAACCATGCGATGGCCACTAAAAAAAGTTAAGGCCCCACCCAGGGCAACTAAGCTAAGTTTACAATATAAATCTAAATCTAAATGGCCGCGTCGCTGGGCGTACCTCCTGTGGGGTACGAACCTCGGCTCAGCGGGGCCATTTCGGGGGGGCAGCAAGTCGGGACAGGCTGGGTCTGATTATTTACGGGGCTATTTAGCGTTACTGTTTGCTCAGCTACGCGGGCGGGCTCCATATGCAAGGGACGGGGGGATCGTTTCCAGGACGTCGCGACGGGCCTCGACGGCGGGGCCGGAACGTGGAACGCGGTTTGTGTTTGTATTTTTTAATAGTGCTTGTTTCCCTACGCCTTTCCTGTAGGATGATGGTGGGGTCGTCGGGTTGGACTAGGGTGTACCTGGGTCGTCTAGTGTGGGATATTTGAGAAGGGGTGTACCGGGCTGCCGATACTATGAGGGGGTTCGAGTGCTTTTCCGCAGATTCAAAGTAACGCTTGGTCAAGCGTTTCATGAACTGCTTCAAAGTCGGTATTCTGAGATCGAGGTGGAGTCGATCGTTCCTCAGGCACCAGGGGGCGGACGTGGCCCTTCGGAGAAAACGGTTTTGGAGGGTTTGCAACCTATGGATCGTGCTATCGTGTGCTTGCGCGAAGACCGGGCAAGCATACGTCATGATGAGGCGTATGCACGTGATGTAGATGCGTAGTGCATTTGAGTGATAGTTTACTGCGTGCATTCAGCATGGGGAAGAGTCTGCCGAGGGCGAAACCGGCCCGCGAGCGAACCGTCTTAATGTGCTCTCGAAAACTAAGGTGGTGGTCGAGGATCACTCCGAGATATTTGGCTTGCTTTTCCCAGGGGATCGGCTTACCGAACAGGGTGATCGGGGGGGGTAGAGTGAGCTGGTAAGTGCGGGGTTTGTTGAACAGTACCGCCTGGCTCTTGTCGGGGTTTACTTCGATTCTCCATCTCCGGAACCAGTCGCCTAGAGTGGCTGCGGAGTTTGACTTTTTTAGCTATGTGAGTTAGATGAGTAGGATTTGTCTTTATATACCTACTTCGACAAAGAAAATACATGGAGTGGGGAGGCCATTGTTATCTTACCTACGCGGAGAACTTCGCTTTCGCATACCGTGGGAACCATAAAACTATTTTAAAATGTGTATTTTATAAGCGGTATCAAAATATATTTTTTTATAATACCTATAGAATTTAGAACAACGTTTACAAGACAATATTATACAATATTATTATTTAAACGATACCCAAATTCAGGACGTTATGATGACGATCTTACAATAAAAGGAGCATTAGGCAGAATATCATTTCTACAGCAGCCCCGCTTGCTCTATAGCTTGCTTTGCTGCGTTGGGTATGTGTGGAAACCCACAAGTCATGAATGCAAGGAACAAAAATGACAATACAATACAATTTGACAAAGTAACAATATAAAAGTTTAACACAAGAGAGTGAGAATAAAAGGATAAAAAGCTAAATCATTAAACTAGAATAAGGTAATAAAAATAGATATAACATACTGCGCGATATTGGCAGACATGCCCAACACTGATTTTCAGTTATTGAGTTCTTTGATTCGTATATATATCGCAAAAAATCGGGTGAGTAAAGTGTCTACCGCATTGGGAGTTACAAGTGTCACATTGG